ACTTTAAGGGAGATTTTGATGCAAAAATAATAACCAGATAAAAATAAAAACTTCAAATTTATCTAATCAAGTCATTTCGTTGTATTCTATCTTCAAAGAAATCATGAGGTGATTGACAATTTGAGTCCAACCACTATGTGGCTGAGTCCATTTTTTAGTAATATCTAATATGGCGAGATAAAGTGACTTGAGAAGTGCGTCATCTGTCGGGTAAGTAGCCTTAGTTTTTGTTACTCTACGTAGTTGACAATTAAATTTTCAATGGAGTTTGTGGTATAGATCATCTTTTTAATTAGTTATGGATAGGCAAAATAAGCACTTAGCTCAGTCCAATTAGAACGCCAAGATTTGACGCTACTAGCATATTTAGCGTTCCATTTTTCTTCTAGCTTGTCCAAATTCGTCTCAGCTAATTCCAAAGTTGAAGCTTGGCAAATATATTAATGGCAGTCATTTGGAACAAGATTAAAAGTGTAACTATTTTGGTTTTATGTGGTAAGCTGCGTGAATATGATTTAAAGAAGGAGGAATGTTTATGATTGGTATTGTTTTAGCAACTCATGGAAAGTTTTCAGAAGGCATTCTGCAGTCTGGTGAGATGATCCTTGGGCTGCAAGGTCATGTTAAAGCTGTAACTTTAATGTCGGACGAAGGTCCAAATGATATTAAAGCAAAAATGGAAAATGCAATTGCATCTTTTGATAATCAAGATGAAGTATTGTTCTTAGTTGATTTATGGGGTGGTACCCCTTTTAATCAAGCAAATGGATTGCTTAAAGGTCAAGATAAGTGGGCAATTGTTGCTTGGACTTAACTTGCCAATGCTTATCGAAGCATTGCTAGGCAGAGCTTCAATGACTGCTTACCAGTTGGCAACTCATATTGCAGCAACTGCTAAAGAGGGTGTTAAACTTAAACCAGAATCTTTAGAAACTGCAAATCTAGCACCAGTTCTATCTGCAGCAGCTACAAAAGTTACGGCCATTCCAGAAGGAACAGTTCTTGGTAATGGGGAAATTAATTATGTATTAGCTCGTATAGATACTCGACTTTTACATGGTCAAGTTGCAACTGGTTGGACAAAAGCAACGAAACCAAATCGCATCATCGTTGTTTCTGACATTGTTGCAAATGATAAGCTAAGAAAGCAACTTATCGCTCAGGCAGCACCTCCAGGTGTCAAAGCACATGTTGTGCCAATTCACAAAATGATTGAAGTTGCGAAAGATGTTCGCTTCGGAGATACAAAAGCATTGCTATTATTTGAGACGCCTCAAGATGCATTACGTGCAATTGAGGGTGGCGTAAAAATAAAAGAATTAAATGTGGGTTCTATGGCTCATTCAAAAGGTAAAGTAGTTGTAAATTCTGCATTAGCAATGGATGCTACTGATGTAGCAACTTTTGAAAAGTTAGAAAAAGCGGGTGTTAAATTTGATGTTCGTAAAGTTCCTAATGATTCAAAAGCAAGCTTTAATCATATTTTGAAAAAAGCTAAAGAAGAATTAGCAAAATAAGGAGGAAGACTCATGGATTTAAATGTTATTCAAATCGTTTTAATCTTGTTCATTGCATTCTTAGCAGGAGCTGAGGGGATACTTGATCAATTTCAATTCCATCAACCAATTATTGCTTGTACGTTAATTGGTATGGTAACTGGAAATCTAGAAGCAGGTATCATTCTTGGTGGAACGCTTCAAATGATTGCACTTGGTTGGGCAAATATTGGTGCAGCAGTTGCACCTGATGCAGCATTAGCTTCAGTTGCTTCAGCAATTATTTTAGTATTAGGTGGACAAGGTGTTAGTGGTGTTGATACTGCAATTGCGATTGCAATCCCGCTTGCTGTTGCTGGTTTAATGTTAACAATGGTTGTACGTACACTTTCAATTATCGTTGTTCATGCAATGGATGCTGATACTGAAAAAGGCAATACACGCACCATGGATCTTTGGCATTGGGTTGGTATCTGCATTCAAGGCTTACGGATTGTTATTCCTGCAGCTGCAATACTTTTACTTGATGCAACTACAGTTCAAAACTTCTTACTGGGAATGCCAGGCTGGTTAACAAATGGTATGGCTATTGGTGGTGGAATGGTAGTTGCTGTAGGTTATGCTTTAGTTATTAACATGATGGCAACAAAAGAAGTATGGCCATTCTTTATGATCGGTTTCGTTGTCGCCGCATTAAGTGAAATAACATTAATTGGATTAGGTGTATTAGGTGTTGCATTGGCGTTGATCTACTTAAAATTATCTAGATCTGGTGGCAATGGTGGTGGACCTATTCATGGTGATCCTCTAGGTGACATTCTTAACGACTATTAATCTTAAAGGAGATGAAACAAATGGCAGCTAGAATCAAATTAACTAAAAAAGACCGTTTTGCGGTTGCTTGGCGATCTCAGTTCCTTCAAGGTTCATGGAACTATGAAAGAATGCAAAATGGTGGTTGGGCCTATACATTAATCCCAGCAATCAAAAAATTATATACGAAGCGAGAAGATCGAAGTGCAGCTTTAAAGCGTCATATGGAGTTCTTTAATACACATCCATATGTTGCAGCACCAATCGTTGGTGTGACCTTAGCACTTGAAGAAGATCGTGCCAACGGCGCTTCTATTGATGATACTGCAATTCAAGGTGTTAAAGTCGGTATGATGGGACCTTTAGCTGGTATCGGAGATCCAGTATTCTGGTTCACATTACGTCCAATCTTGGGTGCATTAGGCGCATCATTAGCGATAAGTGGTAATATTCTGGGACCTATTATATTCTTCGTTGCTTGGAACGTTATTCGTTTCGCATTTATCTGGTATACGCAAGAATTCGGATATGAATCAGGATCGAAAATTGCTGAAGATTTATCAGGTAATTTATTACAAGACATTACAAAGGGTGCTTCTATCCTTGGTATGTTTATCCTAGCAGCGCTTGTACAACGTTGGGTATTAATTGATTTTGCCCCAGTTGTATCAATCGTTACGCTAGATCCAGCGGCAGTTATTGACTGGAATAGCTTAGCACCGAGCTCTGAAGGAATTCGTCAAGCATTTGAATATGTTAATGCAGGATTTTCTCAAAGTCCGTATCAAGTAACGACATTACAAAATAACTTAGATCAATTAATTCCAGGACTTGCTCCGTTGTTGCTAACTTTTTTCTGTATGTGGTTATTAAAGAAAAAAGTAAGTCCAATTGTCATTATCTTCGGATTATTCTTGTTTGGTATTTTAGGTTATGTAGTTGGATTATTCTAAAAATATTAAAAATGGTTTGGTATTGTAACGCTAGCCATTTTTTAATATGATGTAATAGGGTATATAAGAATAAAAGATATAGAAAAGAAATGGTGGTTTGACTAGATGATAAGAGGAAAAACAGGTGGCGTACAGTCCATCAATAGGAAAGTAGACTTGGTTGTTAATGCAACTTCTTTTATGGATTTAACAGCCTATGGAAAGATAATGATAGGCGATCTGGGCTTTGAATTTTATCATTCACGTGATGTAAGAAAATTCGTTCAACTACCTTGGAATGAAATTGTACGTGTGCAAGCGACGGTTTTCTTCAAAGGGAAGTGGATACCGCGCTTTACGATTGAAACCAAAAAAAATGGTTTATTTATCTTTTCGGCCAAGCAACCTAAACAAGTATTAGGTTTAATGGGAGAGCAAATTGGAAAACAGAATATTGTCCATGCACTTGGTATGTGGGATGTAATGGCCAGGTCTTTTAAGAAATAAGAAAGAACTGCTGAGCGATTATTCACTATCTGTTCATTTAAATTGAACCTGCAACAGTTTAATAGACAAAAAGATAAGTTACGTATTTTGGACATGTTACAATAAAGTAGACAAAAAGTTAAGAGAATTTGGTGGAGGAGAAAAAATGAGAAGAACGTTCACTGCAGAATTTAAAAGACAAGCTGTCGCTTTAGTATTAGAGGAAGAATTTACCGTCAAAGAAGTAACAAAACAATTAGATGTTCATGAAAATACGTTATATCGTTGGATTCAAGAAGTAGAAAGCTATGGTTCAAGAGCTTTTCCTGGTAAAGGTAGTCGAGATTATATTACCCAAAATAAGATCAAACAAATGGAAAAAGAAAATGCTCACTTACAGGAGGAACTTGAGGTATTAAAAAAGTTCCAGGTCTTCCTCAAGCAAAAAAAACGTTAAGATTTCAATACATTAAACAGCATAACCGCTCTATTTCAATTGTACATTTATGCCAATACCTACAAGTATCTAGAGCGGGCTACTATGAGTTTATGCAGCGTCGTCCTAGTGCCCATGAATTAGAGGATGAAGTCTTAAAAGAAAAAATAAAAGCCATTTTTATGGAACACAAAGGGCGTTACGAAAGTCAGCGAATTAAAATCTGTTTGGCTAAAGAAGGACTCCAGATTAGTCGTCGAAGAATCACTCGATTATTAAAATGTCAAGGATTATATGCCAAAGGTCAAAGACGATATCGCAAGCCAAAAACAGCAGGACATACCTATGTTAATTTAGTAAATCAACAATTTCAAACGAACCAAAAAAATCATTTGTGCTATGGAGATATTACCTATATACCAATACAAGATGGAGCAACGAATGTCTTTACTGCAAGTTTTGATTGAAGATTCTGACTTACTACTTTTAGATGAGCTATTTTATACAACAAAGATGAGCATTTAAAAATTATTTCATAAAATGCCCATGTTAGATGAAATAATAAAAGTTGTATTCTTCCTAATATAATTTATGTTTTCAAAATATATTACAATTAGGGATTAGTATAACGTTATGTTTGGTGTGAATAAAAAAACAATAAAATTCTTTTTGTATTACATAAGAGAAAGAATTTCACTGTTTTCTTTAAAATTATTTTTTACAAGTTAGCCGTTAATATATTTTTTAATGGTAATATTTTTTAATCGTGTATAAATCGTGTAAGACATCTTTTATTACGTTTAATCTATGTAAATACAGGGATTTTTAAAATTATGGTGGAGATAAGGGGGCTTGAACCCCTGACCTCATCACTGCCAGTGATGCGCTCTCCCAACTGAGCTATATCCCCATGGCGGACATGGCGGGATTTGAACCCCCGCTCCATTTGCACGACCTAATACCTTTCCAAGGTATTCTCTTCAGCCACTTGAGTACATGTCCAAGAAGAAGAGAAAGTGCTTCACCTTTAGCTTCTCTTCCCTAACTATTATTTCGCAGTTCAGAGCTATTTGCTCCACTGTCACAAAGCTCTTGTTGAAGTAGGCAACCGTATATCGCATCAGAGATGCGAACTAATTACCTCAATCTTGCTTCTAACTCAGCCTTTAATTTCTCGTTACCAGGCTTTCCTAATAGTGCAAACATGTTTTTCTTATACGCTTCAACCCCAGGCTGATCAAATGGATTTACACCTAAAATGTAACCACTCATTGCACAAGCCTTCTCAAAGAAGTACACCAAATAGCCAAATGCATAAGGCGACATTTCCGAATTTCAACAATTATATTGGGAACACCACCATCAACATGGGCTAAAACCGTGCCTTGGAATGCCTTCTTATTTACAAAATCGACCGTCTTACCCGCTAAATAATTCAGTCCATCTAAATTAGACGTTTCTGACTCAATGGTCAAATCAAAACGAGGTGATCTGACTTGAACAACTGTTTCAAACAAATCACGGCGTCCTTCTTGCACATACTGACCCATGGAATGTAAATCCGTTGAGAAAGACGCTGATGTTGGGAAAATGCCTTTATTATCTTTGCCTTCGGACTCACCAAACAACTGCTTCCACCACTCATTAAACAAGAGTAAGGCTGGCTCATAATTAATCAACATTTCTATCGTATAACCTTTTGCATATAATGCGTTTCTTAGCACCGCATACTGATAAGCCTCGTTTTCTGCTAACTCCGAGTTCGCGTATCTTTGTTGAGCATCCGCTGCTCCTTGCATCATCTCCACAATACTAACACCTGTTGCAGCGATTGGTAGTAACCCTACCGCAGTTAAAACAGAGAAGCGTCCCCACATCATCTGGAACAACAAATGTTTTAAAACCTTGATTATCAGCTAACGTTTTCAATGCGCCTACTTTTGCATCAGTCGTTGCATAGATTCGCTGAAAAGCTTCTTCTTTTCCAACTTTTTCAATCAGTAATTTTTTTAAAAATACGAAAAGCAATCGCTGGCTCAGTCGTTGTGCCTGATTTAGAAATAACGTTGATCGAAAAGGATTTTCCATCTAAATATTCAATTAGCTCTTTCATATATGTAGAAGAAATGTGATGACCAACGAAAATAATGTTTGGTGTTTTGCGTTCTTCTTTATCTAATAGCTGATAAAAATGATGATTTAATGCCTCAATTGCAGCGCGTGCACCTAAATACGATCCACCAATTCCAATGACTAATAAGACATCTGAATCAGCTTGAATTTTTGCAGCTGCAGCTTGAATGCGTGTAAACTCATCCTTATCGTAATGTGTGGGTAAATCAACCCACCTAAAAAGTCGCGACCTGCTCCTGTTTGGTTGTGAATTGTATCATGTAAAAACTTTACAGTTGGTGCATAATATGCTAATTCATGCGCACCCATAAAATGCTGTGCATTGCTGAAATCTAAATTTAAAAACGTTGACATCTCCTAACACCTCTATCTCTTTATATCTCTCTTTTTCTTTTGCTTCTTTAATCCACTTAGGGATTTGCCTTTCTAAAGCATCAAAACCACCCTCAGTTTCAAAACTACTCGCCCCCATTTTTTCGCTTATAATTAGCTGTTCTATGAATGCGCAAAACTGCTTTTTCTCCCCCCTGGTTTTATTCGCAAGACTTTAACTTTAACCAATTGTCCAATCTTGAAAAATCGAGCGGGATTTTCACTTTCTAGTTTTTCTAACTCAGTTGTATGGACAAGACCACTACATTCATCATTTAACTTGATAAAAATGCCATAGGATTGAATACCCGTAATTTTACCTTCGACGACATCGCCTTCTTTAATTTTCAAAATAGTCCTCATCTATACATTCCCCCACTACAATGTCGCAATAAATCGTTTTAAACCATCCATTCCTGCCACAAGTGTTTCCATCCTTACACAGTAACTGACTCGAATATGATCATCCGCATCAAAACAAATCCCTGGTACCAGTGCAACACCTTCACAACGAACGAGCTGCTCACAAAATGCCCACGATTTTATGCCATACTTCCCAATAGAAGGAAGAACATAGAATGCACCATCTGGACTCGGAAATTCAAGGCCCATTTTCGTCAAACGATCGACAACATATTTACGACGCAAGCGGTACGATTCAACCATAAAGGTCGGATCGTAATCAAGCGCTGTTACACCACCATCTTGAATAAATGTATTAACTGCAACAACCATATATTGGTGAATCTTCATCGCCTCTTTAAGAAACCACAGTGGCGCCATCATATAACCTAAACGCCATCCTGTCATCATAGGGTTTTGATAAACTTTGGCACACAATAATATAATCACGAATATCCTGATATTTAGAAAAACCTAACTGACGCTTTCCATAAACAATCTGATTATAAACCTCATCACTAATGACAAAAAACTGATGCTTCTTAACCGCCTGATAAACAACCTCTAGTGACGCATCCGTTAGCACCGTTCCCGTCGGATTATTCGGCGACGTTAAAATAATCGCCTTTGTCTTATCCGTAATCGCAGCATCAAGTAATGCTGCTGACAACTGAAAATTATTTTTTGAAATGTCGACACTGACAATTTTGCCACCCGCTAATGCCACGACATTTTTATATAAGGGATATGCGGGCGTTAAATTAATGACTTCATCTCCTGGGTTTAGCATGGCAAGCAAAGCTACTGTTAACGCCTCCGTTGAACCCGTTGTCACCATGATTTCAGATAGATCATAATCGACTTTATTCACGCGTGCTTCAAAAGCTTGGATCGCCTCACGAAAATTTTTTATTTCCATCACTCGTTCCATAACTCGTCTTGCCTGCTTTTAGGGCCTTAATCGCACTTTGTTTCATCTCATCTGGTGTATCAAAGTCTGGCTCACCAAGGGTTAACACATGTTGGGCACCTTCGGCATGCGCCCACTGGCTAAACTTGCGAATCAAAATTTCTTGAACATTGTCCAAGCGACTATTCAATAATTCTATCATGCACACACCTCCCTAATTTCCCATTAACAACTATCATTTACATTTCACTTCGTTCATATAAAATACTATATTCAAGGAAGCAAAGAACTTCATAAGATCAATGCTTTGAGTAGGTTCTTACAAGGGTATTTTACTACACTTTGCAGTAAAGGTCAAATGTTATTTTTGATCCCCTTTCCAAAATACTCCTGAACGCCCTGATACGACAACATTCCAAGTACTTCATACCAAAAATAAGGTTTACTAAACTTACAAAAACATCTTTTCAAAATCCTTTTTAGCCCCATAAACAACCTTCTTAATGTTAGATCGCCTTTAAAAGTAAAAGCGCCATGGGCAGTTTCTATCTCTAATTTATAGTTACGTGAAATTTCAACGCCAAAATTCTTTTATCTTTAGAGACTAGAAACCATTAAAAATCATAATCTGAATAATTATTTGACCCGATAACTGTTACTAAACGTGATTTTACCTGTTGCAATGCTCTTAATATAAATCGCATTCAAATTCAGTCTTTCTTTTCAAAATAATTCAAATCCTCACTTAATGTGCCCCATTTTTAAGAAGCGTTATAGCACCAATACCCATAATCACACTAAAGACAAGCAAATACCAAATAACCGCTATTCCTTGATTATAAATAACGGCAAAAATTAAGAAAACACTCCCCAAGATTGCAAGCAGAGGTGCAATGAAACGATTAAAGAAATTAAAATCTTTTTGCAAAATCATAACTTTAAAATAATAGGAATCAAAAGACCTTGAAAGGTAATGGGTACAAGTCCTGGTATGTCAAATACGAAATCACCATACCAACCAGCAAAATTGGCACCATAAGCGACCATCCATACAGCTACAATAAGTAAAGACAAAGTGGCTGAATTATTAGGGAAATTCGTAATTTTATTAACTTGAGAAAAAAGTTTTGGTTTAATTCCTTGACCTTTAACTGCCATAGAATAAAAAATACGCTGTGTTCCTACCATTAATCCATTCAGTGTACCAAGACAAGACACAACTATAAAAGCAAATAATAGCACCAGTAGCACTTTTAAATAGATTAATAAAAGCCGCTAATACACCCGCTCCATCTACAAGTTCTGCAATTGGAGCTGCACTAAAAATTCCGATGAAATATAAAACATAAACTGTGATGATAATTAGCATACCACTTACTAGCGCAATGAGCAAATTTCGTTTTGGGTTTTAATTTCAGAAGAAATATTAACAACTGTATCCCAACCTAAATAGGCAAATACTGTTGCAACTAAGGCAACTAAAAATGGATTTTCTCCTGTATTTAAAACATAGCCAGAACGAATATTCATCACTGTAGTTCCATTCATAAACCCACCAATTGTTCCAACAACGCCCATGACAATAAGGGGCACTAATTTTATAAACGTTGTTGAAACTTGAAATATCCTGATAGCTTTGGACTCAGCGCATTCAAAACATAAATGGTAATCAAATAAAATAACGCCAACAGATAAGTCTGACCACTGAATGATGGATCCACATGCCAATCAAATAATATCACTGTAAATCTTGCTGATACCCATGCTAATATTCCTGTTAAAGATGGATAAAAGATAGTAGCAAAAAACCATCCTATTAAATATGCGTATTTCTTTCCGACTAAAGGTGTCGCATAATCAATTAATCCATTAGATTCTTCTGTATGCGTTGCTAAAACACCAAAAACATAAGCTGATGATAAAGCAATCAGCCCCCTAAAAACCAAGCAGCAATTCCTAACCATATTTTACCACCGATTGCAGCTAAAACAACTTCATTTCTAAAAAATATACCACTGCCAATTACTGTTCCAACGACCATACAAATAGCCGTTAAAAGACCATATTTTCTTGTTAATTTATTTGTCATCATTCTTCTCTAACTGTGTATACACCTAAATTTTGTATACTTCTTCTCTAATTTTATATTGACAGGTATCAATCTGATCTAAATTTGACACCATTC